CTGGTCTCGAACTCCTGAGCTCAAACAATCCACCCACCTCAGCCTCCCAGAGTGCTAGGATTACAGGCGTGAGCCACTGCGCCCAGCCAGATTTCTTTGATTTTTAAAAATAGAAGAAATACATGGACAGGTTGTCTAAGGAATAAATTGGATAACATGTAAAGTACTTCAGTAAATGTTAGTATAGCCCCAATTTTCAAATTCATCAAAGACTAAGCATCTGATACAAGCATGCAAGAAGTTTACAACATTGCACTCCTCCAGAAATAAAAAAAAATATTTTTAAATGTTCTCTTAGCATACGTGTTCTTGTTTTGGAATAGATACTGTCAGCCTTTTGGTAAGTGAAAAAGAACATTTTACTAAAGAAATTGAAACCAAAAAATCCAAATTATTAAAGAGGAAAGCAGAAGTTACTGAGTGACTTAAGACCAAAACCTTATTTAAATTAAAAATAAACCCCTAGGTAGCCTACTCAAGACAACATACACAGCACAAATACACAAAATTTAGTATGAAATAATTGAAAGTTTTCTAACTTTCCCACCTTAAAAATGTTGACATTTTCTAATTTACTTTCATTATAAAAAATGTTAATACTAAAAAATCTGTAAAGTAGAGAAAAAAAGGGAATATCACCTTTTAATACCTTGTTACAAAAAGCTCAATCTAGAATATCCAGTGAGATTTGCTGGGTAAATAGGTTTTAGACCATAAAAAATTGATTTGGGCCAGGCACAGTGGCTCACTGCCATAACCCCAGCACTGTGGGAGGTCAAGGTGGGAGGATTCCTTGAGGCCAGGGGTTTGAGACCATCCTGGGCAGCATAGTGAGACCCCATCTCTACAAAAATAAAAAACTTAGCTAGGCATGACAGTGCACGCCTGTAAGTCCCAGCTACTTGGGAGGCCGAAGTAGAAGGATTGCTTGAGCCCAGGAGTTCAAGGCTATAGTGAGCTCCAATCCAGCCACTGTACTCCAGCCTGGGCAACAGAGCAAAACATCCCCCACCCCTCCACCCCCATCTCTGTTGAAAAAAAATTTTTTTTTTGATTCGATGGTATGTAAGCTCTTTTGTTTTCTTTTGAGACAGAGTCTGACTCTGTCGCCCAGGCTAGAGGTCCGTGGCATCAGCCTAGCTCACATCAACCTCAAACTCCTGGGCTCAAGTGATCCTCCTGCCTCAGTCTCCCAAGGAGCTGGGACTACTGGCATCAGCCACCACGCCCGGCTAATTTTTTGTGTCTATTTCAGTTGCTCGGCTAATTTTTTTCTATTTTTAGTAGAGACAGGGTCTCGCTCTTGCTCAGGCTGCTCTCGAACTCCTGAGCTCAAATGATCCTCCTGCCTCGGCGTCCCAGAGTGCTAGGATTACAGGTGTGAGCCACTGTGCCCGGCCCATGTAAGTAAGCTCTTAATAGACCTGAAAGTTTCATTCCTGTTAGAAAGTAAACTCAAAAAATTGATTCATTTTATTTACTCAAATAATTTATTTTTAATGTACCACAAAAAATTAAAGCAACCTAAGCAGAATTTTAATAGCAATTTTTGAAAGCCAAGTGCCATTCCATCTCTAACACTGATCAAAGCTTCTCTGGTATTCACGAAACACAGTAAATGGGATACTACAACAACTGTTGTGTCTGAAGATGTTGTTCCTTTATTCTCAAAGACAACAAGAAAAAGTACATAATGTACTTTAA